CTCATAGTGCACTTGGGAGAGATTGGCCTCTATAGATCATATTCAGCATTGAGTTCTATGGTATGGAAGGAATCTGCTGAGATGAATAGGATCAGCATAGCGCATTAGGTCAATGCAAATAATTCAATTCCTGCATTTAAGAATTACAATTAAACTATAACTATTGTTATCTATAATCCTTCATTTTCTTTGGTAAAGAAGTTAATGGTCATCCTACATATAATGGTGAGGTTGAGCGCTATGACTGTATCCATTCCTGAGGAAGGGGAGCAGGGTGTAAAAGATGGACTGAGGGCACTACAAATTTTTGGCCATAGGAAGCAGAGCAGCACTTTAAAAAACACTGCAGAGAAGGGTCAAAGTGGGCATGGGTACAGAGCTAAGGTAAGTACATTGAGAGTGGCAGAAAAATCATCACAGGCAGGATGGCCACAGACCCGAAGAGGGCAATGGAGGGAAGTGCCATACCAAGGATAAGTGCAGAGAGGGAAAGAAGAAGCCACAGAGGAGAGTGCAATATTCAGGGCCTATGCACACTGGTCCACTTTCATGCAGCAAAACTCTTCCATTTGGCTGGCTGCATAAGAATGCATTACAAGCAAAAATCTCATGTTTTCTTATGTGGCTGGTTCACATCTATGAACTGCAGTTTAGTGTGAAAGGCAAATGATAAGGGTTAATTTACACCTACATGTGTGCGTTACCGCACGTCTCATGCATTGTAAACCCTGCCTTAAAGAAAAGCCAAGAAAGTTGGAGTGAAAAGCAGAGGTGAACAGAGGCAGGTAATCCATGCTTTCTGACTCCAAAAGGCCATATGCTTACTCCAGTGACTCAAAAACTAGAGAAGTGGATCAGCATGACAGCCGGATGTCTAGTGTTTTAGGAAGAGGTGAACTATGGCAGCTGATATTTCAAACACAGCATTCCTCTTATCTTGACCTATTGTCATACTTGCTGATATTCCCCCGAGCTCTCTCCCCACTGTAGCCACATCTTGGTGCATGCCAACACTATTTAAATACTTACATTGGCAAACACCTTACTTCAAACCTGATCTCTGCTTTTAAGGCCCCAGTCATACCAGATCGAGGGATGCCAAAGCAAGGACATCTGAAAAAGAATGGGAGTAATTGACACTGAGTTGTGCTGCGTTGCCCTCCGCTAAAAAAAAAAGTAGAGCAGGCTTTACTTTTTTCAAGTGCAATGCAATGGACTGGTGTGAACTGCTAACACATGTCAACACAAGGGAGAGCCCAATATCCTATACAGCTTAGTGTAGAGATCAATCCAAAAAATAAACCCAAAAAATACAACGAAACACAATGCAATAGAGGTCAATGGACTATGCAAATGCAAGCCAACGTAGCTCCGTTGACTCACGGTTTTGGTTCTGGTTCTAGTGTGACTGCACCCTGTTGTGCACATTGAAACCATATTTCAGGCAATTAATTGGGCTGAAATTAAAAATTATTTGCTAACTTTAAAGAGAGCATAGGTAAACAAAAAGGAGTTTTTGTATACGTGGCCACGTTAAAGTCTCTCTGGGCCTTCCAAATATTAAAGCTACAAATAAAAGATAAAATAAAAGACAATTAAAAAAAAGCAGCTTTGGTGTAATACTTTCATTCTTGCCCTCCTGGCAGGAAATCTTCTCTGGATGTTGCCAGTCTTTTGAGTTAAATGATGGCCAACGACATTCAACTCACTTCCAGTAAGCCTAGGCTGTCATGGACGCACCCTCTGGGGGGGTGTATCATCACAGTAACCTGGTCTCACTGTACTACCACTTTAAATAGCACTCATGCATGATTATGCCATGGCTGTTCATTGCAGGAGTAAGGACTGCCCACCACCAGACAAGAAGAGGAAGGGCTGGCAACGTCTGGACAGGCAAGGAGACCGCTAGGAGTATAGGTATGTATGCTTTCATTTTTTGTAAAATTAGCTGCTTTGGGAGTCTCAGAGAGTTGAACTCGGAGTTCTGCTGTCGCGGTTTTCCAGCTTCCCCACAGTCCAAACAGCTCCTTCATGTATGTCATCTTCAAAACAGCCCAAGATACACCATAACATTCAAAATAACATTCTGTTCCCAACAAATTTATTGGGCTCATATAATCAGTTTTCGATTCAAATATAAAATAGATATTTCAAGTTTACAAAAGCCAAAACAGTCAGTAAGGGGCCATGTCAATAAACCGTGCTTTAACAATCACTTGTACGCCGACCACTGACGTTCTTCGGGATTTTTTCGATGTTTGAATTGAGTTTACAGAAACGCGGCAATCCCGGAGCTCAGCGTTTTTCTGCCTTTTTCTTGTCTGTCGTCCGCTTGCTGTTATTATTGGCCTTCAGAGAGTCTATGAGGCTGCCGAGTCTTTGACTAGCCAGTGATTTCTTTGAGCTGGGTGCTCCTTCGGAGACAGAGCTGAGCAGTATTGAAGCAAGTCCCCAGGTCTCTTTCTCCCCACTCTGCAAAGGCTGACTGGCCTGCTCTTGTAAAGTCCAGCAACTCTCCTGAACTAACTGGACAAATCGTTCCAGCTGAGACTTGTTGACATGCAACTCTGGATGGAAATAAATGTTGAGACATTGCATAAGCAAAATGATGTGACTGCGAATGTGTGCCGTTATCAAAGCTAAAGGCGGACCGACAAAAAAATATTGGAGTGTGTGACTTAATTTTGACAGGCAGTGTATAAAAACTCATAGTGCACTTGGGAGAGATTGGCCTCTATAGATCATATTCAGCATTGAGTTCTATGGTATGGAAGGAATCTGCTGAGATGAATAGGATCAGCATAGCGCATTAGGTCAATGCAAATAATTCAATTCCTGCATTTAAGAATTACAATTAAACTATAACTATTGTTATCTATAATCCTTCATTTTCTTTGGTAAAGAAGTTAATGGTCATCCTACATATAATGGTGAGGTTGAGCGCTATGACTGTATCCATTCCTGAGGAAGGGGAGCAGGGTGTAAAAGATGGACTGAGGGCACTACAAATTTTTGGCCATAGGAAGCAGAGCAGCACTTTAAAAAACACTGCAGAGAAGGGTCAAAGTGGGCATGGGTACAGAGCTAAGGTAAGTACATTGAGAGTGGCAGAAAAATCATCACAGGCAGGATGGCCACAGACCCGAAGAGGGCAATGGAGGGAAGTGCCATACCAAGGATAAGTGCAGAGAGGGAAAGAAGAAGCCACAGAGGAGAGTGCAATATTCAGGGCCTATGCACACTGGTCCACTTTCATGCAGCAAAACTCTTCCATTTGGCTGGCTGCATAAGAATGCATTACAAGCAAAAATCTCATGTTTTCTTATGTGGCTGGTTCACATCTATGAACTGCAGTTTAGTGTGAAAGGCAAATGATAAGGGTTAATTTACACCTACATGTGTGCGTTACCGCACGTCTCATGCATTGTAAACCCTGCCTTAAAGAAAAGCCAAGAAAGTTGGAGTGAAAAGCAGAGGTGAACAGAGGCAGGTAATCCATGCTTTCTGACTCCAAAAGGCCATATGCTTACTCCAGTGACTCAAAAACTAGAGAAGTGGATCAGCATGACAGCCGGATGTCTAGTGTTTTAGGAAGAGGTGAACTATGGCAGCTGATATTTCAAACACAGCATTCCTCTTATCTTGACCTATTGTCATACTTGCTGATATTCCCCCGAGCTCTCTCCCCACTGTAGCCACATCTTGGTGCATGCCAACACTATTTAAATACTTACATTGGCAAACACCTTACTTCAAACCTGATCTCTGCTTTTAAGGCCCCAGTCATACCAGATCGAGGGATGCCAAAGCAAGGACATCTGAAAAAGAATGGGAGTAATTGACACTGAGTTGTGCTGCGTTGCCCTCCGCTAAAAAAAAAAGTAGAGCAGGCTTTACTTTTTTCAAGTGCAATGCAATGGACTGGTGTGAACTGCTAACACATGTCAACACAAGGGAGAGCCCAATATCCTATACAGCTTAGTGTAGAGATCAATCCAAAAAATAAACCCAAAAAATACAACGAAACACAATGCAATAGAGGTCAATGGACTATGCAAATGCAAGCCAACGTAGCTCCGTTGACTCACGGTTTTGGTTCTGGTTCTAGTGTGACTGCACCCTGTTGTGCACATTGAAACCATATTTCAGGCAATTAATTGGGCTGAAATTAAAAATTATTTGCTAACTTTAAAGAGAGCATAGGTAAACAAAAAGGAGTTTTTGTATACGTGGCCACGTTAAAGTCTCTCTGGGCCTTCCAAATATTAAAGCTACAAATAAAAGATAAAATAAAAGACAATTAAAAAAAAGCAGCTTTGGTGTAATACTTTCATTCTTGCCCTCCTGGCAGGAAATCTTCTCTGGATGTTGCCAGTCTTTTGAGTTAAATGATGGCCAACGACATTCAACTCACTTCCAGTAAGCCTAGGCTGTCATGGACGCACCCTCTGGGGGGGTGTATCATCACAGTAACCTGGTCTCACTGTACTACCACTTTAAATAGCACTCATGCATGATTATGCCATGGCTGTTCATTGCAGGAGTAAGGACTGCCCACCACCAGACAAGAAGAGGAAGGGCTGGCAACGTCTGGACAGGCAAGGAGACCGCTAGGAGTATAGGTATGTATGCTTTCATTTTTTGTAAAATTAGCTGCTTTGGGAGTCTCAGAGAGTTGAACTCGGAGTTCTGCTGTCGCGGTTTTCCAGCTTCCCCACAGTCCAAACAGCTCCTTCATGTATGTCATCTTCAAAACAGCCCAAGATACACCATAACATTCAAAATAACATTCTGTTCCCAACAAATTTATTGGGCTCATATAATCAGTTTTCGATTCAAATATAAAATAGATATTTCAAGTTTACAAAAGCCAAAACAGTCAGTAAGGGGCCATGTCAATAAACCGTGCTTTAACAATCACTTGTACGCCGACCACTGACGTTCTTCGGGATTTTTTCGATGTTTGAATTGAGTTTACAGAAACGCGGCAATCCCGGAGCTCAGCGTTTTTCTGCCTTTTTCTTGTCTGTCGTCCGCTTGCTGTTATTATTGGCCTTCAGAGAGTCTATGAGGCTGCCGAGTCTTTGACTAGCCAGTGATTTCTTTGAGCTGGGTGCTCCTTCGGAGACAGAGCTGAGCAGTATTGAAGCAAGTCCCCAGGTCTCTTTCTCCCCACTCTGCAAAGGCTGACTGGCCTGCTCTTGTAAAGTCCAGCAACTCTCCTGAACTAACTGGACAAATCGTTCCAGCTGAGACTTGTTGACATTTTTACTTATGTTCAGTGATTGTTCAAATGGATTCTGGATGTACAGTGGAAAGGAGTCGGGCTTATTTCTCTCTACACCCTACAGGAAAGCAAAAAGAAAAAAAATGTTTAAATGATATGACATATGGCGAGACCTTGGTGTCAAAACTTGTTTTCATTCCAGAGAAATGGGCGCAGTTGAAGGAGGATTACAGAATATAACACACTCTTTTCACCCAATACAAAAGTGCCAAACCCCACACACAGTAATAAATACTGTATATTTCTAACTGAAGAAAACTGCCCAGAGATTTAAAGTGACATTAAAGGCTAATTTTTTTCCCCCCTCCCCCAATGTTAGTGTAAGGACTTACCTTAACCTCTGGCCGTCCGCCCGTAGTAAAAAAACGGACGGACGGCACTGCAGCATCTGCGGGTTGCCGTCTCCAGACGGCAATTTTTTTCTGCTCGCGCGCGCCCCCTAGCGGGCAAGCCTCTTAATCTGATCTTCTTTAGTGTAGTTTTCAGCTGTCCCTCCAGCGCTGGTTGCGGGTCTCCGATCCAGTGCTGACTCTGTCCTCGTCTACTCTGCGGGTGCACGCTGCTTCATAGACTTACCATGTGTCTCTCCTCGTCTCCCGGCCAAACATCTGAACTGCGCATGTGCCCGCCCCAAGATCATTTGCGGCCGCCCGGGACTTTTCAGATGTTTGGACGGAAGCGCATGGCAAAGACACAGGTAAGTTTGAACCTGTTGGAAAAGGTTTTTTTTTTAAACGTTTTTGCATATATCTACTGCTTGCTAGCAGAAGATATATGCAAAAACACCCTGAGGGTTTAAAAGAGAACTATGGGGAAGTGTTTTTCCCCATAGTTTTCTTAAGGGTCACAGGAGGGCATATACTAGCGTCCTCCCGTGACCCAAAGCTCAGTATATCACGAGCTACAGCTTGCGGTATACTGGAGGGCGCCACAGCCGGGACGGATCCTGACATTACTGCCGAGATCCACCCAGCTGCGTGAGTGACAGCTGGCTCTGCCTATCTAGAGGCAGATCCAGCTGTACTTGCCCCCTCCCCAGTCCGTTCCACCAGTCAGCACTGGAGGATCAGAGCGGGCAAGGGGGGGAATCCCTACGGGGAGCCATGACAGTCACTGCTCTCTGCAGGGAGATGATCGAGAAGTGAACGAGCGCCGGTATGTGTTCGCTCACTTCCCGATCTATTAAGCCGACGTGTGACAGTTTAATTGTTACACATCGGCACGAACTAGGAGGATGAGTGAAAATCAATCACCTCATAGTTCTCCTTTAATAACCCTTTAACGTAATCCTCTGCTTTGCTTAAACCTTATTAAATGAAAGTGTTTTCCCGGCATGTGACTAAATTAACCCAGACCAGATATTAAAAGCAGACACCCTCGGGTATCTGCACCTAGTTTTCCATGTCTGCACTGGGGTCAAATGTGCACCAATTCACAAGGTGCTCAAGAATGCAAATGTATTCAGCTTCCTGTCAGTGAGGAGAGCTGGGTCTCCTCTCTCCCGTACCAATAAAGATGTCCATCATAAAGTGGAAGGGGGCATGTCTGCTCTTGAGATGTTGGCACTGAAAACTTGAGTAAGTAAACAAAAAAAAACACCTAAATGGGTGAGCAAGGGGTGGATAGGAGAATACATGTTGCCCAGATATGTGCTTTAAGTAGACAAATGAATGTTTAGATCAAATTACTATAAAAGAAATTTCCACCTTCTCATAACCCAAACTGTACAAATACTCATACTGTGGATTAATGCCGACACTACAAAATGGTGGGTGCTGGTCGGCAGTGTTCATCGAGGAAAGTATATTATCAGCTCTGTATACTGTAGACCACAATAGAAGACATTTACCTTGCGAATATCTATACAATTCTTGCTGAAGTCAAAACTTCCATAAAACTCCAGAAATCCAACAAGGAGTTCATCTATAAAGAAAAGGACAAATTCAATCTAAACAAAAAAAAAAAAAAAAGAGAACCCACCAAGAAAACATATACTGACATATGCAACAAGGCAATGAAAAGGGATGATGAATTAAAATATTTATTGTTATGGATAATGCAGCTTGATCTACAGTATATCTGTCTGAACAAGCTTCTATACAACCCTTACATTTGTTATTACTGTATATCTAAAAGTAGGGATGCACCGATACCGGTTACCGGTACTAGTATCGATATCGGTGTCGCTACCGAGTATTTGGGCGAGTACATGTACTCGCCCAAATGCTCCGATGCCTAGCACGAGTATTTCCGGTATCAGGAAGCCAGGCAGCACGACATTACACGCTGCCCGGTTTCCCGATTGGCCGTGAAGCGGCTAAATGCTCTCTCGTCACTTGTGATGAGAGAGCATGGAGCCGACTTCCAGGCCAATCAGGAAGCCAGGCAGCGTGTATTGATGCGCTGCCCGGCTTCCCGATTGGTCGGGAAGCTGGCCAATCAGGAAGCCGAGCGCCGTGCAATGACGTAGCAACCAGCATTTCGGATTGTCCGGGAAGCTGGGTTCATACTCCCTCGTCATCTCATGACGAGGGAGCATGGAGCCGGCCTATCAGAAAGCAGGGCGTCACTTAATTACATGGCGCCCGGCTTCCTGATTGGCCGGCCAGACGGCTCCGACTGGGTACCGGAGGAAGGTCGCGTTCTGGCTGGAGAGGCCACGGGTGTGACAGGCTGGACATACCAAGGTAAGAGGGGACTTTTTTGTTAATCAGGAAGCCAGGTGGCGAGTCATTATACACCACCTGGCTTCCTAAATGGGACTTTCGTTACTCGTTAATTTGTATCGGCGAGTACCGAAAAAATTTATCGGTACTCGGTACCAAAATACCGGTATCGGTGCATCCCTATCTAAAAGTACAGATTTATATTTCACCATAGCTCTAAAAGGGCATTGTAGGAATAATCAAAAAACCCAAACGCCCTTCCATTGGCATGCGTCACATATACTAGTTCCAGCCATTTCATTTAGAAAAGTGGCTCGTCTCAGAAGAAACAATAGCAAATAGCACAGGTTTTCTAACCTCCTCAGTTATTCCATCCTGTCAATCAGCTGGACATGGGGTTTTTCTGGTGTTCACAGTCTTTGAAATTCTGCCTGATGCAGGTGAATTCAGATGGAACCGGCAATGATTCTCCACCTCTATGGCCAGCTTTATAGTTGTTGGACATAACTGCCAAACAATAGCTCTGGCAGATTTACTTACAATAAAGGGCAAAGTACAAGTTACCTACAGTAAGCAGCCTGAAGTCAGGCAACAAAATTCATTCCAAAAAGGAAAGAATGTGTAATGGTTTCTAAAAACTTCTGCTCTGTGACTTTGGGAATAAGCATGGTGATGTCTTTAAGTTCTTCTCACTGATCTCACTTGTAGTTCAGATCTGCTTTCCCATTAATAAATGACTCACCTAGTGGTTCTGTGTTTGCAGATGGTTTAATTTTGCTCAGGTCACTGACGAATGTGCAGTCATTGTCTTCAACTATGCATTTGTCATTTTTATCTAAAATAAGTATAAAGTGAACATATTTAAGCTCATATTAAAATGACAGATTATTACAAAGCAATCCAACCATATACATAGCGTTACTACAAAACAAATGAAGCCTTTTCAATGGCTGTAACAATACCTAGAAATGTGTTGTACACAAGAAATTACAGCTGTGATTATAACAGGTCATCAATCACTGGCTGGGTTTAAAGAAAAATTGAGTATTTTCAAGACTTACTTGCAGTGTTTCCCTTACCATATATTTTAATCCACTTGCAATGTGCCTTTGAACTTGCTAAAAAACTTTAACTACTTCAGGGGTGAATTCCCTAACACATTCCCCTCCCTTCTGTCATATCATAGCCTTCTCGGCCTTCTGTGACAGCGGCTCCCTCCTCCACCGCCGGCTGCAGCGGTTCCTTCACTTCTCCTCGGATCCCCACTGCATACAGATGGGGGAGAGCAGTGGAGATCCAGAGGAGAAGCCCCATGGCGGGAGGACAGGACATCGCGATCGACTGGTAGAACGCCATCGACCTAATAGGCCCCCCTGGTCTAGTGAGTATAACTTTTTTTTTTTTTTTTTTTAGCACCTAGGCACTAACGAGCACATAACCCTAGCTCTGCGGAGTAGCCCTACTACAAGGGTTAATAAAATGTTTTCCTGGAGCTCCTCCTTAACATAGCGAGTACTCCTCATTCTGCTCTCTCCTCCTGTGAATAGCATTGTGCAATAAAGAAGAGTGCTGACTGGCTTAGAGAGTTGCTCCTTCCTCTCCCAGAGTGCTGCTGTGCAGGGGGGATATCAGGTTAATATTAAGATTAAAAAACTTATATTAGTTCCATGTAAAAATATATATATTTTTTTTAAATGTGTCCAAAAGTATATGAAATTGTGTGGTTATATTAGGACAGAGTTCACCTTCAAAAAAAAAAAAAAAAATCACAGGCACAAATGTTTAAAGTATTACCCCCAAGAGACTCCCTTAGACGACAATGGTAGAGGTTGCTCTATTTGTGCACTGGCTGTAAAATTACACATGGTGAGAAGGGCGAGTGACTCACATCTCTGGGGGGTTCCACATGAATGGCCCTTGCACATAGTGCTTGGCAAACTGTCACTTTCTTTGGAAACATACACTGACAAATGACTCGGTGAATGTGCAGATTCTAAACAGAACTGGCTTGCGATCTGCATGTGGTATTTTGTGTCCACTTCTTAGGGAAATGGGGAGAAAGAAAACTATAAATAGCCTCTGTGTCCAGATCAAATGTATAGGTCTGTTCAAATGTTAAAGTCATTTTTCAGACAGATCCTTACAGGTGTACAAAAAGATTAAACATTACAGAATAGGAGATGACATCCACTCTCAGTAGAAGAAGAATGTAATGGTTGGGATTAACTTTATCTTAATATTTTCTTTATTGAACTGAAACGTACCAAAAAAGGTTCACGCCCCTTCCTAAACTATCGTAATAAAGATGGCTCAGCAGCAGCAGTGCAGAAACTGATGTAGACCACTTAAATAAACGATATCAAATAGAGGTGCACCGAAATGAAAATGTCAAAAACCGAAACGAAAAAAAATATGTCAGGCTGAAACCAAAAATTTCTTTTTTTCTTTTACATAAATAAAACCTCTGATATTTCCCTTTTAAAACAGAAAAAGAGATTGAGGACAGAGCCTTCAATCTATTTTTCTGCAGCCCCAGTTATAACTGAACAGGAATCATCTATACTGAGTGTTCCTGTTCATTCATAACATGAGGACAGAGTATGTTTACTATATCCACAATCATGAATGAACAGGAGGTGATGTAGATCACTTCCCATTCATTCATTATTGAGGATATAGTAACTCTGTCCTTAATTGTTCATCCTGACAGCTGTCACAGGAGGCTGAGTGAGCAGTGGGGGAGGAGAGCCCAGCCCCCTGTGACAGCACTGCCCACACTGCTCTCCCGATCTGTCACAGGAGGCTGAGCGGTGCAGGGAGGAGAGACACCGAGAGACACCGGCCGTCTGTGAAAGTTTCTCTCCTCCCCGCTGGGACACAGAGCAAAGCCCAGCGAGGAGGAAAGAACAGATGCACCGCTGTATCGGCCAGAAAATGGCACCTTCGCCATTTTGCCAAAAGTGCCGTTTTCGGACGATATGTTTTGGTGGCCGATATATCAGTGAGTCCCTAATATCAGATATTGCACTTTGCTCATTTAATTATGTAATAATTAAAAATATAAGTTAGTGCAGTGCAATATTTGATATTCTTTAACTTTCATTTTTTTTTACTTGATTATTTTTATAAATAAATGTAATACATGACAAAAGATTTTAAAGCAGTATCAGTTAGCTAAAGCAAAGGCACGGCCTGCTTGGAGGCTCTGCTTCTCTGATTGAAACTTCACGTTTTAGCCCTCTGATGAGCGATGTGTCATTGTCCTGAATGGTTTAGCTCTGTGTGTAAAATTTACCTTGAATTACTAGTATCTGTTAAAAAAAAACTTTTTTTTAGCAGTTTGTAAAGTGGTAGCCAAAAATATGTAAAAAGGAGTCAACAGCTTTACCTGCTGACTAAAGTTTAAAAAAATATGTAAAAACAATATTTTATATCTTCCTGGAAAAAAGAATTAAATAGTATTTTTCTTCCTGACCATAATAAAAGGATCATTTAAAAGGAGAACTATGAGGCGAGTAATTTCCACTCATCCTCATAGTTAGAGCCGACCTGTAACAAGAAAGCTGTCACAGGTCGGCTCTATCGATCGGGAAGTGAGCAGAAACATGCAGCTGATCCGCTCACTTCGCGATCGTCTCACTACAGTGAGCGGTGACTGTCAGTCACCGCTCCCCGCAGGGATTCCCCCTCCTCTCCAATCCTCCAGCGCTGACTGGAGGAACGAATGGGGGAGGGCACAGCTGGCTCCGCCTCTAGATAGGCAGAGCCAGCTGTCACTCACGCAGCTGGGTGGATCCAGACAGTAATGTCGGGATCCGTCCCGGCTGCGGCGCTCACAGTCTATCGCTGGCCCGCGATATACTGAGCTTAGGGTCACGGGAGGACACTAGTATATGTCCTCCCCGTGACCCTAAAGAGAACCCCATAGTTCTGTTTTAATGCACTAAACCGAAAACTGTTCCTGCTGCTACGGATGAATCCTGTACAGCTCAGAACTGTAAACTTTCCACACATTCCAAATGGCCCATCACTAGGATGAGCTGCCTCATCAGGCAATAGGGATGGAGGCAGAATGGGGTGGGCAAGCTTCAACACTACCAGAAGTGCCAGAGCTTTGCCCAATCAGGATATCCTGAAAGTGGCAGAACTGCAAGTATGATATATTAAGGAAAAACTCCAGAGACATGTTTTTATTAACCCTTGCCCGGCTTGTTTTTAGACCAGTCCCTGGAGTCTCTCTGCCCCTCCACTGCAGCGGTCTAAGAATCCTGATGCCATCACTATACAAGTGTATAGATGTGAGGACTCTGAGGAACGTTTAAATTTCTGCAGCGGAGGAGGAGACACGTTTAGGTGACCGGAGAAGCAGGGAGTCGGCTCGGCAGTTCGGGTGAAGTAGAATATTTTTTTTTTAGCACCTAGACAAAAATGAGCAGTTAACCCTTGCAGTCCGGGGGTAGCCCCACTACCAGGGTTAATAACATTTCCCCAGCATTCTTCCTCAAATCAATGACAGCCACTTCAAACAAATATTGTCACTAACGTAAAAAACTGCAGGTTAAAAAGGAAAAAAAAAAAGTATTTAAATGCTTTCTGCATTTTTCATTTCTATAAATGTTTTCTTTTATTCACTTGTAAAGTGCTTATGAACTTGCTGGAAAATGTGACTGTGGCAGGAGAGGCAGATTTCTAGCACAGCCCATTTTCTGCATGTCCTTGTCCTTCTCCCTACTGGGAGGGCCCAATTACTCTCTATGCTGACCCAGCTCCTTCGCCCCTCCCTACCTACCCTTTTATGTAGCTGCCAGGGCAGGAGTGGGTAAATAACATGGCTTAAATATGTTCAATGCATATATAATCTTTGGAAAGATTCTAGCTGAAAGAAACAAGTCTGGCAACAATAGTGCTGAGGTTGTAGAACTTGTAGTGGGACAGTCATCCTGTAACATTGTACTTTCGTCTCACCTGCAAGATTCTGCAGCTCATCTAGAGTTGGGATAACAGGTGGATTTCTCTTCTGTAAGAAGAATAGGACCATGGCCGTGAGGGAGAAGTTGGTGATCCAATGTCCAGACACAGACTTCGTGATCCCGTGCACATTAGCCCAACATCGCAAAGCGAAGATGAGAGGTCGCACTCGACTATCAATGTTCCCATATATGTACAAAAGCTCCGAACTCCTCAGTGCAATTCTACATCACAGAAGAAAAATCAGGATTAAAAAAAGACAGAGAAACAGTTACTCTCTACAACACCGGTTCTCAACCTTACTAGTGCTCTAGTGCCTTTGATAAAATTGTGGTGACCCCTAACAGTAAAATTATTTTCGTTGCTCCTTCCTTGCTGTAATTTTGCTACCGCTAGATAGCTTTTAGATAGCGGCTCCCGGCACTTTTTCCCGGAAAGGTTTATTACTCTGCTCGATCGAGCAGAGCAAAACTTTCCCTGCTCTTTTTTTTTCTGATATCGGAGCCGCCGTCACTCAGAAAAAAAAAAAAACAGCATAGGAATGCTCAGCTAAATTCCTATTGGCTATTTCACTTTGCAATATCCAATAGCAAGCTGGCTATTGCACCCACTCTCTGCTTTTGTCAATCACTAGAAGAGGACCTGATGGAGAACTTCAGGTCCCCCACTGCTGATTGACCGCAGCAGTGGGCGGGTGCAATAGCTAGTTTGCGATTGCAAAGTGAAATAGCCAATAGGAATCTAGCCCGGGAGAAAGTGTTCCTCTCCCGGGCAGCCGGGAGCCGCTATCTAATAGCGGGAGACTAGCGGAGCGTCCGGGAGAGTTGGGATGTCTTTAGGCGACCCCTGGCAAATCGTCATTCGACCCGCAGTGTTGCTCTACAACATAGCTGAACTGGAAAGTGAGCTAAATTGGAGAAATTCTCCAAACTAGTTATGTTATCCTAGATTGTTCACTTCTCCAAACCCTTCACCTTTTTGTGATTAGCCCCCTTTATCTTCTACATACATCTCCTGGCAGGAAATCTAGCTATGGTGGAGAAATAATATACAATTCTTGAGCCTTTCGGTCCAGCCCTCGCAGTTTGTTCATACCATATGCAACTGAGAAATGCATGAACTATTTCATTTAAACATGCATCGCCATTTGTTTTCAGACATGCTGCGGTTTTTTTTCTCTGAATTCTCTCACTTGATCAGGAAACTCAATTTTGCAGAACATTTCTAAATCACAGTGCAATGCATTATACTCTCGAAGAGTAGCAGTTTAAAAATATCCACAAACGGGAAAATGAACGGTCTTGTTAGTGCCGGATAGACAACCAAAGAGTTTTATTATGTTCCATTCTGCTTTAAATATGAATTGATAATAAACATTAATAATAATGTTACACAATCCACTTTATGTATTAAATAGAAACTATACTTTTATTTTTTTACCAACTCTTCCCCTTTTATCCTGTCAATCACTGCTATATCACCTATTGTACAGACCTCAGGCCTAAAATCCTTGAAATGTTAAAGGCTAATTTCACCTCGTATAACATATTTAGGGTTTAACATGGGACATGGCGCCATTCTGCATCCACCCACGTACCTAAATCACAACATGATTTTCCTTGCAGGATTCTATATATTTTTTAAAACCATGTGGCTCCACCACAGCAGAGGAGACTTCTAGTTCTGAAACACGTGACGTCACTGCACTTATAGTCCATTGATAATGTCATCCAGCTCCATAACCAAAGGGTCGTACCTCTGAATGGACCTGGCGCTGGAGGAAAAGACTGCAGGAGTCTGAGCATTGCACCCTCAATCCACTGATCACAGCTGCAATGTTTTGAAGGCTTCAATGCAAAAAAAAAATTATAAAATGTCTTCTTTTTGCAGTGGATTGCTGAATATAAATAACAGTATAAAAACAATACAGTTGAATATAAATAATGAGACACCACTTAAAGTGTATCTAAAATTAAAACTGTAATATAATGCAGCTTGTCCTTAAGAGTGGCGGCCGCAATAATTGTCTTTTTCATGCCAACAATATTTGGAGCAAGTACAGGGAATCTTGCCAAACCACAGAGCCCTTGTGAGTCACTCATATGTAGCATGTAACAAGAAAACTAATCAGATTGCAGACCCCCACCCACCTCCCACCCCCACAATTACCTGAATCCTGGGGTTCTTTACCCCGCAGGATTGTTTCCCTTCTTGAATTTGTCAGGGCTGTACGTGGCTCCACCCACACAGCCGTGTCATTCATTCACAGATCGTTTGACAGGACCTGTAAATGGAGAAACAACAAGTCCTATCAGCCACTGCGGCAGAGGGACTTCAATGGAATACAAGGTGATGCCACTGCACTTGTAGTCCACTGAGACTTCCTCCTAGCCGTGTTACTGCCATACGGTAGGGACACCGATGGGAGAAACTGCAAATCAATAAATAAATGCACATTTTAATTTATTTTATGGTGAAGGGTGCATTTTTTTTAAACTTATTTTTGCAGAAAGTGGAATTACCCTTTAAAGCCATGCAGTGCTGCCTCTCCTACACTATTTCTGCAACATTATATGTGTACTCAGCTAGGAGTACCTAGGAGATATTTATCTTAATATGACCAATATATTCCCCAAAGTCCTGCCAAGAAATAAATAAATATACTCAAATTTGCTGTACATAGGTTATTCCTTCTCCATACATAATGTAAATCACCAGGCCAATCACAGTTAAGTCAGGGGCGCATGTGTCCTCACGTGTTCAGGCTGAAATGCTGGTTTTCAGGCTCGCAGTCAGGCAAGTTTCCACTCACGATGCCCAATTTCCAACAGCTTCCCCCATATTAAAAGGGACACTGCATGCTGATCACCTACGCTGCACTCATCCCCATACTTGGCAAGTGGTAGAAGGAGGTATGTCAAATGTGAGCACACCATTGCATTTAGTCCAACCACAGGATGTCATCAGGGTATTCTAGATAGAGTGCCTCTTGTTGTACTGTCTTCCCAGCTCCAGGGTTTTGTCTTACCCTATGCAAAAGAAATGAATACCACAAGCTTACCTATTGTCTGCTGTGAGGTCGCAGTGAAGACCCGCAGGGTGGTGGTAAAAGCGTACCAGAGGACAGCGCGCATTCAGGATTTTGTGCACCCCTGTGCACCCAGGGCCAAAACTGTCAAGACATTCAGCAATGACAGACAGAATCTTCTGCTGGGCTACTCTGCTAGAGGGGGCTCGTTTCATCAAATACTCTGTGACAAATGAACCAGCAGCCTGATGGAAACATAAGGATAATCCGTGAAGGCAACATAAGAAATGCTGTGACGCTCACACATGCTACAGGATAACTGTTCTGAGAGAAATGCAGTGGTTGCCATTGCTGAAGGTTTTGTCTCAATGTCCGATGATGGCAATTTACTGCAAAAATATATATATTTTGACTGTTTTACACCAGTTTGCATTTACTGCATTTCACATATACAAAATGCATTAGACCAGTGGTTCTCAACCTGTGTAACCTCGGGACCCACATTTGTCCTTGGTCATTAAGTCGCACCGCACTGGAATGCATGGCATTGCAGTACCGTGCATTCTGATGCGGGCCGGATGTGCAGTTGGGGTGCCATTTACATGAACGGCAATGCAAAGCACATCCCGCACCAGAACGCGCAGTAGGTTTTGATTGTGTGGCACAGGACTGTGTGGATAACACACTCTACTAGTGTGAATGGGTCATCAAAAACATTGACTGACACACACAACCACAGACATTTTCACACACATACTTAATTTTTTTTTTTTTTTAAGTCTCCCTACCTTATGAGAACTGGAGTGGATCCTCAGCTTGGGAGCCAGTGTGGGCTGCTGCGCTGTGACGGAGCTCCATCCATATGTGCATTGCTTGTACAGCTCATTGCGTGCCCTGTAGAGGTGCCAGGAGCCAGAATGTGGCGTCACTCCAGTCCAGGCACTTCTACAGTGTATGTGAGGGAGCTGTAAGCAATGCATGTATAGATGGAGTTCCCTTGTGGCCATATCCCCAGCTCACCTTTCCTCAAGCTGACACTCGCCTCTGGGCAGCATATTTTATATGGCTGCTTGGTGTGAGAACTGACAGTGCTGCGTTATGGGGAGGCTGAGGTGCCTCTAAACTAGCGTAGTGGAAGGCACGTAGCAACCCACAGAACACGGGGTCACGACCCACCAGTTAAGAACTACGGCATTACACAAATGTTCACTATGTTGGCACCCTATCAGCTGGCTCATTGGATAACACAGGCAACTGCTCCTGATTCTGTCTGCTCTAGTTTTGATAAACTCCCCCTATGTATTTACAAATTCTCCCAGCAAACATTTTCTGATTCAGAAACTGTTCTGCAGGCATGCAGTGACCAATGCTAAATTGTAAACTTCTGAAAATACCAACTGCAATTTTCTCAGTAAACATGCAGGTATCCCGACAATATCATCTTTTAGACAAGTGTATTATTATTAAGCTAAATACTCAACCGTATTGACATCAAAGCTGAATGCCAGGTACAAAAAATCCAGTTAGGTCTCATCATAAAATCACCTAATGTATGTTAGCACTAGCAGAGATAGTCAAATATGTCTTGATATGTCTCCTGTAGTCCCCAGCAAGCCAATCAGAGATCTACTGCACTGTACAGGGCTGTCAGTCACTGGTCAAACATGCTTACAAGATGGGAGAATAGAGAGAATCCCCTTTATTTTACAGACCCAGGTCCGGGTGGGTCCTGGACCAGGCAGTATTGCTAGCTTGCAGTTTAGTAAGCCCAGGACCTTGCAGTGCTGTCTAGAAAGGGTGCATGGGTACAAAGACTGCCTTAACATAATTGCAAATCCTATGTAAGGGTAATCTGTCCCATGAACTTCAACTGTGTATCTAGCGGTTTTGCCTACATCTTAGCTTTAAACAAAATAAACTTTATGAATGCCTAGTACTTCAATAACAAAACCAAAACTTCACTTACCCTTCCACTCATATCTTTTATACTATTCAAATTTAAGAACAGGTCCAAGTCGCAACCCGTTTTTCCAAAGGAATTAACACTGGAGCCATATAGATGAACAGTGGCTTCAGGGAAGTAGGCAGTGGCAAGGTCACTGACTAAAGAGCTGACCAGGTAACGAAGTCTGATGCTCTCCTCTGTTAGCTGATGTTCTTCTATGAGGATATTTGCTTGATCTGCAATCTGTTTGACAGCAAAACATACATGTAAACTGTTTAAGCAGGAAGCAACAATGAAGAAATCTCTTATACAAGTGACTTCACTGACACTGAGATAAATATACAGCTTTGTCACTTGAATGCTGCTGTGCAAGTAAACAAAACCTAATTAATTATGTCTGCCCCATACGCTTCAGGAGTCTTATTCTGTAACTGATTTTCTTAAACTTGGAACACTATTATGTTATGTTTTAAAACTTCTCTTGGAAGTCTTTTCATTGCATTTCAATATTGTTACTTGCCATTTCAGGATTACACCTCCTATATCACTTCGTAGGCTCTGCTGCTGTTTGCACTTGCCCAGCCATGCTCCCTCACCGCCTGCCCAATGTAACATCCCTACTTAGGTAACCTCCAATGTTGATTGATTTCAGAGCTTAGACAGTGGAATTACGTTTTGAGTTGCCATATGTGACATTGTTCAAGCCTGATAATTGACTGCTCAGGCCCCAGCACTGTCACTCATAAGTAAGTGCTCAACAGTGTGGGGAGGCAACAAGAGAGCATGACTGGCTTAAGTATTCATACGCTGGGGGGTGGGCAATGTACACAGACTGTCACTTTGCCCTGAATGGGGAAGGTAAAGCCAGCTATTCACTGTACGAACTTTGTCCAGTTCCTGATTGGCTGAAATTCGCACAGTGGGTGGCCCTGTCGCCACCCTTCTTCGATCTGAAGATCAAAGGAGCCGGATGGAAAATCTTCAGGAAAACATCGACAGCAGCCAATAAACTGCCAACACTGTTTGAGTATTCTGACAGCGGCACCCCCGTCTGTCAGAACAAAAAGCACACAGCGGGAGATTCGTCCATTCATGCTCTTCAGCAGGGATGGAGAAATCTATTCTATTTCTTCATTTTCAACTTAACGGTGTCTCTTTAACCCCTTCGTGACGGGAGACGTACAGTGTACGTCCTGTCACTTTGTGCCTATATGACTGGCCACGTACACTGTACGTGAAGAGTTATATCAGGCTTTGTAATGCCGGTATTTGCTGATTCTCAGCATTTAACAGTCATTCATTAATGTCTCAGTATTGAGGCATTAATTAATGAAATAAATCTCTGGGCTCCACTTCCACCCACCACCCCTAACCAACCTTAAACTGCTGGCATCAAAAATAAGCTTTTTAAATGCCCATTTATTTATTTACCTAAACCTGCTGTTAACTGGCGCTCTGGACCCAAGTCTTATTGCTTCTTCTATTTAGGGGGGTTGGTGGGGTCCTTCTTCAGACCCCAGCCCAGATATGGGATTTAAGAAAAAGATGCTGAAAGCAAGTTTTGGCTTGCACACATAACCAATATCAGCAAAACCTACAAAGCGGTATATAAAGTATAATCATGAAACGGCAAGTAAAAATATAAAAACTCCATTAAAAAAAAGTCTTCCAAGAAAATGTTTAAATTGTAACTCAATGCAACTCTTCCACTGCGGCAGTCACATTGTAAGAAGGATAACATGGATTTATACGAAAGCCACATATATGTGCTAAAGCATCCATTGTATGATCATATGTCGTAGCTGAGCAGATATGCTAAAAGCCCAGGATTACTACAGTAAAGGCCATTTTCACTTTTTTCAATGAACTTTCCTTCCCATAAAACTAAACAAAAAAAGTTATACATACCTTAAAGTGCACATATGCCCAAACTATGGACATTAAAGCATTTACATATTCATAACAAGTAGTAAAAGAGCTTAAAAACTAACCATCCCAAAAATCTGTAGCTGCATGTCCTGTGGAGAAATTCCTTTTCAAATTTCACAACGGAGGCCTTGTAATCACAGCTCCTCTCCCTTTATTTTCTTTGTTAGTAGGGACTTAGCTGTCTACTAACCTTCTATCGTAAGCAAACAGCAAGTTCTCTATCTGGTAAAGAACTTCAGAGTCTCTGCTGTGATCTTTATGAATTACTACACAGGGCCTACAGCTACAGAGGTGAGGAAAGTGATTCACCCTCAAAAAATATTAGGTACTTCAACTGCCATCAGGAGTTGAAAGCAGACACCAACAGCAACCTGCATGTGTCTGTATCACCTTTAAACTCAAGCATTTCTAACACCAAACACTAACCCCAGCTCAACTTTCTATGCTGAGGTCATTATCTGCACAACAGATGACTCTGGCTTCCCTGTGAGAAAAAAATTATCTCATTTTAGAGCCCACAGGAGATGCAACACATTATCAACTTACACTGTTAGCGGCACACAGTTTATTTAATAACCCGGTGATAGAAACAGAAGGCTTTGGGGAGTTATTGGATGCCAAATCCATTTCTTTGGACTTTATTTTAATCAGTCTAGTTTTAAATGGCACAACATATACGTCTTCATCTGGAATTCTGGTAGCAGTAAGCAGTGAATCAATACTTTCTGTATTCGCAAACTCCACAACTGCATGAGTGCCCTAAAAAGGAACACAATAAAAACAAAACATGATTTTATAACATGTAAAAACAAATGGAAAATAACTAGAAATAGGAATAAAGGGGAAAAAGTGTCAGATATCACTCCTGAGTTTAGTGTCACATTAAAGTGCACACGTGCCCAGACAATGGACATTAAACTATTTATATATTCCTAACCAGCAATAAAGTAGCTTTATAACGATCCCTCAGTGACCTGTTCTCCCTGTGCTTGCGTGGGTTTCCTCCGGGTACTCCGGTTTCCTCCCACACTCCAAAAAGACATGCTGGTAGGTTAATTGGCTCCTCTCTAAGTTGGCCCTGTATGTATGCATGTGAGATAGGGACCTTAGATTGTAAGCTCCTTGAGGGTAGGGACTGATGTGAATGTGCAACTATGTAAAGTGCGCTATATCAATACCTGAAATAAATGACCTCTCTAGCAGCTTTTAATGTACAGTTATTCCTTCTTAAAAATCCTCAAAGATCACAACAAACACTCGGGTTCCAAAAGAATCTAGTTTAGTATATGGCGTGTGTTGTTGTGGGCTTGAGTTTTTAATAATGATGATGGCGCTTCTTTCCCACTGTCATTCATAGTAACAAGCCAAGCCTGCAGTTACTACTGTACTCTCTCTCCTCTGAAATAGCCGGTCGCTGTTTTAACTGCAAAGAAGAGACACACAGCTACATATGTTCCATCTGGCAGCTTATCAGGAGGAGGTGCCGTGCAGACTCGTGTGCACTGTGCCTGTCACACCCCCTCTCCTCCTGCGATGGCAGTCAGTCAGGACTGCCATCTCCTTGCTAGCAGTGTTGACGGATAGCAGTGGAAAGGTGTGCTATCCAACAACAGTGCTCATCAACCCCTGAACATACTTAATGGGGACAAGTGCTATGTGCGTTACCTGGGGGGTATACCAAACCTTTTTACACCCCTACGGTACTTCTTTTAAAAAAAGGCAGCCATTGGACAAATGGCTTGTCTCAGTGACGACCATCATTGGGACAGGAAGTGAGAGGAAATCATCAAAGTGAGGGCACTGCAAAGTGAAACCAACAGATATTGTATATTTGCCCTTCTCTGTCCAAAACAGAACAAAAAAAAAGTTTTCGCTGGGGAGCTAACCTCTTGCCTGGCGTAAGTGTTCAAATATCTTATGAAAATACTTACAATGCTTTCGAAGAAGAAGTGATTGGCGACTTCTCCATGTCGTGATAAATGCTTCAGAAACGTACTCTCCCTTATTTTAGAAGGGCAGTTTATTAATACCGAGTGCTTGGCCTGTTCTTCTCTTTCTCTTTGGATTTCCGCAAAGCTTTTCCTTGTGACTTGATCTTGGTCTGTGAACAGTATAGAGCTATTAATCATTAATACTAAGTGTAACCAAAGTTTTTGTTTAGAACCGAGATCTCATTTAATTATTCTGAACGTGGTCCCGTCACTCTGTTCATCTCAGAGCAATAGAAGTCCTGACTGCTTGAACCCGCTTTTTATGTTCCTTTAATGAGCCCTGTGTTGACCCTTGTGCAGGAGCCACCCCAGCCCTGTACGTCTGGGTTTATGACTCATATAAATACAGAGGAATGATAAGAATTATTAAAGACAGTGACAACAGTGGTTGCTTGATTCTGTGTAATAATTTAGAACAAGCCAGCACCTCAATTATGTAAATTCAGACTTTGCAAAAGCCCATCAGAATGTAACAAACCAGCATTTCATGAATTCTCATTGCATTGATTTTTTTCACTCTAATTAGGGGTTCTACAAGTACCCTAAAATGTTGCATTGCTGACGCTCTTACTTTTGTTAACTCATAATTTGCCTCCCCTGGCTATCCTTATAAATTACTTACAGTGTATATGGAGCCTTCCTGACTTCAGTACCCACTATTTACTAAGTGGGCAACATAAGCCTGACCTTAAAGTGTACTTAATATAAAGGATTGGCTCTACAAATGGACAGCTTTTATAAAAATCAAGACGTGTTTTCGAAAAATGTAAGTGGCACTAAACTCTCAAAAAATGTATATTACCTATTAAAGGGTTAATAGAAAGACTACAATCTCAATACAAATTAGTAAACTAAACATGGGATTGTAGTCCATCACGGGAGTGAGCTTGGAGGGGTGACTACTTTACAAAACACAGGGACCATGGGGAACAAAAGAAGCCACCCTAGTAGACACATGTCCTTCAACATCCGATTCCCCATAGACCGACATGGGGTCCGGTCATTTCAGTCTTTCATCTGACGGAAGAAAAAAACTGGACGGACATGGATGTCACAGCGGTGACATTCGATCTGTACTGCTCCGATAAGGAGGGGATCTGTGCATGGTTCACCTCCTGATCGGACAGTGTGAAAGGGGCCTTAATGGCCCATTCACAATGCAGTATGTGCGTCTTTGCGCTTTGATACGCAGTGCGCTGCGTTAGGCAGTTCATTCTAGGCTGTGAGGCATGGAAAATATAGTTGGCATCTTAGCACAACGCACATTTATAAAGCAGTGAATGTGACTTTGACCAGAGTCAATCACTATTAAAATGAGAATACTTGGTGAATGTCAGATTCACTGATTTATAAACACGTCCCCCATGCATTGCAGCACACATGCATTTTGGAGGAGCATTTGGGTGCTATTCACAATGAACACCCCAGAGCACACCAACATGCGATGACGCATCTGTTACCATAACAACCTGCCGCTAACTGGCCCCTAAAATGTAACAAGATGAAGTATTCCCTGTGGTACACATAGTACTAGCTGGAGACCTCTGGCTGTCATTCATCAGCCCCCCAGCACTCCCTGACTGTCCCCCAAAAGTAGAAATGATATGAAAGTACTGTGAACTTTACAAAATAGGACATTTAAGCCTTCGAAGGACTTCTAGGGACCATCGGCCCCCCAGCTAAGCCACACATAGTAGGAAGGACACACATGGCGGTACCATGCCAGCCTGCAGTAACCTCCACAAAGCCAGAGCTCGGCACCAATGTCACAGATAACGGAGTCCTCCCCCGCCGTGTCCGCCGCCAGGGCTCTCCGCTGCTGCCTCCCCGTCGCCGTGCTCAGAGCCCGGCCCGAGGCCCTCACCACCGAACCCAGCCTCATGCAGGGCACCATGACACCGGCCGGGCACATCGCACTGCGCATGCGCAAGCCCCGACTACGGCACACTCAGCGGACCAAAACACCATCGCAGCCTTTGCTTCGCATTCCAGCAGAAGCCGAAGTCAGGGAAGATCTTGGCAGATGTTGTTTTCACAGTAAAGTGGAAGTTTGCAGTACAGGAGACGACAGCCTTCTATTGATGTAAAAAGCATAGCAATACAGTATAGAGAAGGGAAGTTCACCCGAGAAATCCTAAATGAAGTTTTCCGGAGCAATTTAAAAAAAAAAAGTTTTTGTAAAAATCTGTATTTTTAGCTACAATTCTGAACGCAGAGGCGCCATAGAATACAAAAGACAATAGCTGAAGTTTTTTATGTCACACAATATTTGCATGACTGTTTATCAAATCTATATTTTCAGAAAATAATAAACTAAAATGAATTTTAGTGCGCACAAACACAATTTAATCCCCATTTTCTATTTGATCATATTTCAAAATATTTAACGCTTTTTTTATTTTTTTCACCTAAGTTTATCTCTATTACATGAGGGGCTAACCAGCCACCTATGTTATAGCATTGACCAGATGACCAGTACTCTTTACGTAGACATCAGGGGTCTGTGAGATCTCTAATGCCTCCCCATGCACTATACCTCAAACCCATGTTGCGGTGTGAACAGAGCACATAGAAAACCATTGCTTTCCATGTGCCCTAGTGGTGAACTGCATTTTTCTTGTGCTGACAAATGCAGGTCACCTCACATATTGTAGACGCAGCCTTAGTCTTTGCATCCTATGGCCAAGACTTCTATAGGGCCCAATACAGAATAAGCTTAGGAGATGGCCCTAAAGAGGTTTATAAGGATCAGCAGGGGAAACGAAGATTTTTACTTATATGTGAAGATTGTGGCCATCCGATTCTGGTCATCATACACCGGGGGCAGGTGAGGGTTGGTTGCTTTTGTTCACGGGGACAGGTAGTTAGGATCACTGTATTTTCTGTAAAAGTAGTTATCCTTTAAAAGCTGTTCTGTAGTAGTTTTAAAAAGATGAAAACAAACACACAACCTGCGAAAGAAGGTCTACCAACACACGTTCGTTCCTTAGATCATCACTTCCTGGGATACCTGCAGCCTCCAGCAGAAGCTTCATTTCCAAAATGTTTCATTGCTTCGGATACCTGCACCCCACCTCATGCTGTAGTTCCATCAGCTAGCTCCCATGTTACTACAGGGCACAGTAGTAATGTTTGGCCCATTCACTTTGGAGAGTTGCGCTAAGTGCATGCTATCATCTTATATTCCTAACGTGCGGTACTGTGTTCTAGGTGTATTGTGTTGCAATTAATTTCAATGACATCCCAACACACCTCCTGGTGGGCATGCATTGCAGTTCAGCGCTATGCGGCACTGCAGTACGTTGGAGTGTGGTGTAAAAAAAGTACTCCATGCACTACTTTTTTTCATCGTAACACATGGTATTGTGGTACCGCTCTTCTAACTGCACTTCTAACTGCAAAACACAGGGGTCGGGTGGTGTGTAAGGGTGCTATTCAAATGAATGGCAATGCAACGCACCAGTGCATGGTACTGCACACTAGGTGTGTTGTGTGATAGCTGGGCTAAATCCGAGTACCATCCGCACTCCTACGGTCATACAGTTCAAAAGGCATCTGTGGTGCTCAGGGTGACCGCACGGATGGCGCCGTGCAAACATCAATGGTAAATTCAAACATTTCACTGGCACTCTCAGGGAATCGAACATCAAATTCCCATTGATATATTTAATAAAGTTCAAAATGTCACATAGCGTCATAGGGTGCTGACGTTTAGGGTCCACGCAGGGTTCCTTCTTTAGAGAGACACAGTGATGATCTGTTCACTGTGTCTCTCTGAAGAAGGATCCCTGCGTGGACCCGAAACGTCAGCACCTCATGACGCTATGTGACATTTTGCACTTTATTAAATATATCAATGGCACTTTGATGTTCGATTCCCTGAATGTGTGTCGGTGAAATGTTTGAATTTACCACTGATAGCTGGGCTAAACGCAAGGTAACATGCACTTGGAGCAATGCTCTGGTGTGAATGGGTCCGTAGAGGCCAGTAGATGTGACTACAGCATGCAGCGAGGGACTTGGCATCCGACACAACTGGAATTGTTGTCACCAGGTGACGAGGGAGCATGACGCCGCCTTTCTGGCCAATCAGAAAGCCAGGGAGCATGTAATGACAGGCTGCCTGGCTTCCTGATACCGGAAGCTCAAGTATCAGGCCAGGCATCGTAGCATTACTAGTATCGGTATCTGTGCATCCCTACTTTGCAAGAAAGTGAAGATTTGAGGAATGGGCGGTTGGACGGGTGAATAGAACCGGTCTTCTGCAAACTGCTTTCTTTTTAAAAGCATTGATAGAGTTGCTTTAACATCTCAAACAGGGAATCCAAAAGCAATAATAAAAAAAAAAGAACTCTTTCCAAAAGTAGAAGTAAATACAAATATATACAGTTAGCTTTGGGTTAACTTCTGCTGTAATATTTGATTAGCTAAACAGAAAGCTGTCGCTGGAAATAATATAAAAAGCTGCAGCGATGCATAAGAGACATTAAATGGAAAGGGCAAAATGAGATGTGCACTATAAATGAGAAAGGGAAAAGGAAAGCGAAATGGCCTGCAGCAGCCAATCAGATTGGGTCATGTTCCTAATGCTAGTTAGAAAATGAAAGTAATACAGCTGCTATGATTCTTAACTGCTGAACCCTTTCTACTTGTAGTCTACAGAACAGCTTTTCTCAGCCTTTTCACCCTGGGTGAACCCTTCAAATAATTCTGAGGTCTTAAGGAACCTCTGAAAAATATTATATTGACTTTTAACTGTAAAATAGCACAATCAATAAGCTGTTAAAAGTTTTAAATGAAACAAGCGAAAATATGGCACACCTAGAATATCTGACACCCTGAGCGGATGATTTTACAGCAACACTTCCTTGTTCCTTACTACAATATTAATCATGAAATGAAACAAATATTAATGGACAGAAAATAAATTTGAAGTGTTCCCTTACACTGGTCATGAGCAAAACAGTGCCCCCTTACATTGGTGGTCAGTGCAGAATTGCCCCTTATATTGATGGTCAGTGGAGAAATGCCCCCTTTCATTGATAGTCAACGGAGAAATGCCCCTTAAATTAGTGGTCAGTGGAAAATTGCCCGTTACATTGGAAGTCAGTGTACAATTGCCCCTTACAACGGAGGTCAGTGGAGAAATGCCCCCTTTCATTGGTAGTCAGTGCAGAATCACCTCTTACACTGGTGATTACTGTAGAATTGCCCCTTACATTAGCGGTCAGTGGAGAATTGCCCCTTACATTGGTGGTCAGTGGAGAACTGCCCCCTTGCATTGGTGGTGAGTGTACAATTGCCCTTTACATTGGTGGTCAGTGTAGAGTTGCCCCTTACATTAGTGGTCGGTGTAGAAGTGTCCCTTACATTGGTGGTCAGGTTACATCTGCTCCTTATATTAGTGGTCAGCGGAGAAATGCCCCCTTTCATTGGTAGTCAGTGCAGAATTGCCACCTTACATTGGTGGTCAGTGCAGAATTGTCCCTTACACTAGTGGTCAGTGGAGAATCCCTCTTTACATTGTTGGCCAGTGCAGAATTTTCCCTTATATTAGTGGTCAGTGCAAAATTTCCCCTTACATTAGTGGTCAGTGCTGAATTTCCCCTTATATTGGTGTTTTTTGTATAATCCCTCTTTACATTGGTGGTCAGTGTAGAATCCCTCTTTACATTAGTGGTCAGTGTAGAATCCCTCTTTACATTAGTGGTCAGTGTAGAATCCCTCTTTACATTGGTGGTCAGTGTAGAATCCCTCTTTACATTAGTGGTCAGTGTAGAATCCCTCTTTACATTAGTGGTCAGTGTAGAATCCCTCTTTACATAGCACAAATATTACTAAAGAAGAAATGATGAAAGCCGGAGGGCAATGGGGAGGATTAAAAACACCATAATAGCTGTGAGTTCACTATATACTGTGTGCAATATATCAGTGAAAAAAAAATACAGAAAAACAAAAAAGTACATTAAAGTGTAACTTTAAATAAAAATGTAAAAAGGGTGACCGGCAGGTTTTTAATTGCAGAAGAGACATACCATGTGCATGCTTGGTTCAGTGTATAATTTTGGCATATGCCAGAATGAATAAACTCCCTCATGCACAGGAGCTTAAGTCATCCCCGTGCAAACAATCCAGAGGACAGAAGATCCCAAACCCAGAGGAAGAAGAAAGAAATGTGGTGTATCTGACATCCAAGGCAGATTTCTTTGTGCTCCCTACTGCGCTATGTGACAACATTATTTTGAATAAAAATCATGAATGAAACAAATAATAATAGAAAAGAATGGCAGACAATGAAAATTGTAGTGTCCCCTGCCTTGGGGGTCTCTGGTTCAATTCTCGGTCAGGACACTATTTGCATGTTTCCATGTTTCCTCCGGGTACTCTGGTTTCCTCCCACACGCCAAAGACATGCTGGAAGGTTAATTGGCTCCTGTCTAAACTGACCCTGTATGCGTGTGCAACAGGGACCTTAAACTGTAAGCTCCTTGAGGGCAGGGAGTAATGTGCATGTGCAGTACGTAAAGCAATGCATACATTTTCAGTGCTATATAAATACCTGTATTAAATAAATAAAAAAAATGTTGGTGGAACGAGTGTCCCGTTACATTAATGATCATTGTAGAGCCCCCTTACATTGAGGTTAGTGGGAACTGTGTCCCCTTACATTAGTGATCAGTGTAGAGCCCCCTTGCATTGAGGTCAGTGGGAAATGTGTCCCATTACATTAGTGGTCAGTGTAGAGCCCCCTGGGCATTGGGGCCAGTGGGAACCGTGTCCCCTTACATTAGTGGTCAGTGTAGAATCCCTCTTTACATTAGTGGTCAGTGTAGAATCCCTCTTTACATTGGTGGTCAGTGTAGAATCCCTCTTTACATTGTTGGCCAATGCAGAATTTCCCCTTATATTAGTGGTCAGTGCT